GCAGCAACAGTGGAGATTACGAGTTGCTTTATTGTGAGTAAAATTATCTTTAATAATTTAATCAACTTAAGAATAAAATAAGGTATACTTGCAACAAATCGAAACAAAAAAGAAGAAAAAAGAAAATTAGCAAACTATTACTGGAAAGAATCAAGAAAGGATGTCCGTGATATGTTAAACATTGTCATTAGTATGTTGCTATTGAATACTGAAGCAAACGGAAAATACCGATCCTAAAAGATTGTAAAAATATAACGTAAACCTTGAGGTTGTGTCTTCTTTATTCTTTCAATTCTTTGTATTCTTTTCACTCTCAAGAACCAGCTGAATATTAATACACGTTTGGCAATATTTTCTAAGGATCTCTAAGATTGTTTTGTTTCTAAGAATTGATCGAGTCAAGAATGTATAATTTATGACGATATTTATTCTTTCTATGCTAATTGAAGATGAATTTTATCTTTCTATGCTAATTTGTTATGTTATTAAAGGATTACATCTTACAAAGAGAAATTTAAAGTTTTTAATCTTTATATTCGTATCTCTCTGTCCCCTGTGAATTCTCACCATCTGGGAAATTTAAATTTTTAAAGAGAATTCAACATTTTTAATCTTTTTTATGTTTCCTCTTTATGTTATAAATCTTGGAAAGGACTTATTTTTTCCATGTTTCCTTTAGCTTTAAAAAACAAATGTTTTTTTAGAGACTACACTAAAATCTCCTTAGCAAAGTAATTACTTGATATATGCGTTCTGCTCGTTTCTCTCGCGTCTTAAAGATTCCAAATTGCATAAATAAAAGGAATCGTGAAGCTTACAAGATAAAACATCATATTATATGAAATATAATATTATACATAATCATGTAAGACACATATGACTTTCTCTAATTTTCAGGGAATCCTGGTGTGTGCCGCCAAATTCCACAATCTTCGATGTTAAGAAATGTTGATTGGGCAACTCATACCTGCGTGATATCTTTCGAGACAATAGGCATTTGGCCGGAGGGCGCCGATGGAACTGACGTGAATAATTGCACGCGAAGTGGCGATGGCAAGCTTTTAGCTACCGGTGATGATTTTGGAAAAGTCAAATTGTTCTCTCATCCGGCATGCCAACCAAAGGTAATTTAAATTATTTTAAATTATAGTGTACTGAACTTTTAAATTTTTTGAAAATTTTCAGCGGATGTTGCATATTAAGGAGTATATTAAAATCTTGCATAATTTTTTTCAGTCACTATACCATTCTTATGGCGGACATTCGAGTCACGTAACAAACGTCTCATTCTTACAAGATGATTCTCGATTGGTATCGACTGGCGGCGCCGATACCAGTGTTCTTCAGTGGATAGTAAATTAAACGAGTAATTTTAAAGCGAGTGATTTTGAAAAGTGCACTTCAAGTTTGAATTAAGAAGATAAAAGAGTGTCAGCATTACGTCGTTTAAAAATAAAAATATTGCACGATTTACTTAATTGCGATTAAGCATTGTGGCTTCTACTGAAAGAATTTTTGACGGAATCATTTTAACATCTCAAGTTTCCCATATCAAAACATAATTTGCCGTAAGATGTATTTAATCACGATGAACATTATGAATGTTCTTAAGCGGATTCCACTTGTTTAAGAGTGTGGAAAATCAAACAGATGCCTCGATTTCTCAACGATACGTTTATCATCAGGCGCAAGATATTCATAGACACGAATATATACTCTCGTACGTAAAGCAACTCAATGCACCGTGTGTGCGAACGTGTTTCCTTCTCGTATCAGTATATGTGATAGCACCGATGTAATCTTTTCTTACCATTGTGTCCAATATGCACAATATTAATGGAGAAGCGCTTGACAAGCGATCTATATAAACAAGTGATTGACATAATTACTCTGAGAATAACTTTTGACAATATATTTCTTGTTAACGACATTTACTATTTATGTTAACATTATTAATCCAAGAAATGAATATTTTATACGGCGCCTTTCTGTAATACATCTGTTTGTTTATTTTTTAATTTTTGCAAATGTATTCCAGTATTTTTGTAAGTCTTTTTTTTAGATGAATAGGCGATTAATCGCGAAATTAAATTAGTAATCGCGAAAATCATCAATTAAATTGAAAAGAATTTAATTTAATTTGTTTTTAGTTGATTCATAACATACACAAAAAGCTCTACGAGTGATCTTTATATATTCCCGAATAATATGAATATATTTTCTTATTTTTGTGAAAATATTGTAATGCGTGTTGCGCGCACACAGTTTATTGTGATTTACATTAATTAACAAACATAGATTTCGCAAAAAAAAAAAGACTGTTATATAATCAAACAAATGGAAAGCAAAATAATTACTCTCTGATATATTATATATTATATTTTATAATGTGTGTACCCAGACAGCACAGAATATTTATGATAAATATTTATGATAAA